AGTCCCAGTTTCTATTATTTTCCCAACTTCCAAGTAATCACTTGAATCCAACCAGCCCTGTTTTAAAAGCCCTATATAAACAGAATTGGTCACAAAATAATGGTCCAACAATAACCATTTTCGGTTCCCTTCCGGTTATTTTACATATATCCCCCTTTTAGCTATCCACAACATCATTTACACATCTCAAAACACCCTGTCAGTCTACTGACAGCTACACATGTAATCCTTAAATTATTCCCTATGACTGGACACGGCTGACGTTCCACAGCTCCCAAACATCCAGTCCCAACCCACAAGACTATTTTTTGTTATGGAAACCTACTCTAGCCACCAGTCTTATACACATGAATCCTTACCAGGCGCTCCACCCTGCCCTGCTTCTGTAGTTCACAAGTTCACCAGACCCATTTGCGTTACAATATTATGCTATGTACATGTATGGCAGTAACATCTGATATGAGACTAGCTAGATAATTAGTATGCCTCCGGCCTTTTGTTGAACTACATGTGCATTTACATGTGAATGGAGCTGGGTCTGGTTATGGGCTAGTCATTCAATACCTAAAGGTCATGTTGATAACCCTAGCACTATATAGGTTGAGACAATGGTGTCCCGAGTCCTTGGTTTTATAGAGTTAAAGGTGCTCACATGTTGTTCTGCATGCACTAAACTGTGTACTTTCTTTGTGGCATATTTGAGACACCACACCGAAACACTTAATTACAGTTATTTAATGAATGCACTTCATTTTGAGTGAATGTGCCAAGTAATTACAAATGTATACATTGTAAACTACTTAAGTGAAAACATTGTAACCTAAGTGTATTTTGTGTTGCCTGTGACTACAGCTCATTAAGCTTTTACTTCTAAACACTTTAGTGTGCATAAAAGTTGGGAGAGATGCAGTTGATGCATCCGTGATATATATAATCAAGATTTGGCTATATATAGCACAGTTACCAACGCTCTTGAACTTTCTGGTAATGACGTTACAATGACGTCATCAAGTATCATATTACAAGCAATCAAAGATTTTTAGATTTAATCTTTGAAAATCAATGTAAAATCAACTGCTGCAGATTTGATTTTGTTTTTTATGGCAATCGATACAATATTGCAGGGTCGTAATTTTTGGTATTAAGTGCAAAATCATGTGACCCTTCCTTCCGGTCGAAACCGGAAGTGCCTTATTTTTTTAAATTGGCAGGAGATACGCACTTGCTTTCAATGATGTGAGTGTCTGCCTAGGCAGTACTGTACACAAATATTACAGGTTACGTCATCAAATGAGCGCCCTCTGGCGGCATGTTGAAAAAGTCAAACATGGATTTAAACATGCATTTAGAGTTGATGTGTGTGGCAAAGTTTGCGGTAATCCATGGCCCAACACCGTGTGGTTGTTCCTACAACCTCTAGTTTTGATTAATTTTATTTTCTTTTTGATATGAAATATACAAAATAAAGAAATCAGAGCATGAAAATATTACATTGAGCACATGACAAACCAAAGAAACCGAACCTGAAATCTCTGGCGAGTCAGATTGACACACTCCCAAGATACCTTGCCATTAATTGTCGAAAATTTCCCAACTTTTGTGGACGGGAAACCGAAGCCATAAGCCCGTATGTTTCATTTGCCCCGGCAGGGACGGATCCAGAAATGTTCGAGGGGGGGGGGGTGTTTCATCAGCCAAAAAATCTGAAAATGTACACAGATTTTGTTTCTCCTGACACTTGGCCTCCGTAAAAAAAAAAAAAAATGGGGGGGGGGGGCTGGTACCATATTTCAATTTCGACGATTATTAACACTAGATTACAGAATGGTGTCCCGTATTTTTAACAGGCGGTCGTTTTACCATTATACCATTACAAGCTGATTTACCAGATCATAGATCGGGTAGGGCGTAGTGTTGGGGATGAAAATGTGGGGAATTAAATGTAAATGGGGGATATAGTTGGGGAGACATGCAGTTATAGAAAAGCAATTTCTGTGGTGTGATCTGAGGCAATTTCTGACCACTAAAACCAAAGATCATCTTTTAAAGTTTTGAGTTTGGAGTAATTGAATCAGCTACATGTATTCTGAGCAATAGAATCATTATTGTAGGCTACACAATTTTTATTCGGGGAAGAAAAAGTGGGGGGGGGGACACCAAAAAATGCCCCCCGCCTCAAAATGTGTGTGTGTGTGGGGGTGGGGGATGGGGCTGGGGTGGGGTTGGGTTCCCCCTGTCCCCCGTCGATTTACGCACATGATAATTATGTACCGTGGCAACTGTCTGTAAATGTTGCCGTTGGTCTGTTAAATTGGCTTTTTGTGAGGCAGTCGAATTTGGAAAACGTAGTGAAAAGGTTACTGTAGTACACAGGCGAAGGCTGGTTTAAATCATAATATGCAATAAAACGTGAAGGTGTCATTTGAAATGAAAATGTTGAGTGTTACCATAAAATTACAAACGGCTGAATCATGGAGGAAGCTTGGTCATAATTAAGTTTCAGTATTGGACTCTTCAACAAACGTAAACTTGAACTTCTAACAATTTGCGAGACCGTCTGCTAGGAAAAAGTCGGTAACTTTTATTGAAGTTGGTACAACCATCTATATAAGAGCAAGCTTTACTCGGCCTCGGAGAAATGTTTGCTCCTGAAAGGATCCGAGACCGCGGCTTCACGTCCGTGGAAAAATGTGGGTGTCTTCCGCCGGGTCGGACACTTTTTCGTCGATTTTTTTGTGACTGCGTTTAAGATCGCGAGTTTGAAGCAATGCATCGATCCTTCGTTGACCCAAAACAGGCCCCCGAAATTATAACACGACACTGAATTATACGTGGCGGGCAGCGAACTCACAACGTTCAGCCTTGGTGGTGGAAGCATGGAGCTGTAAACACATTATGGAAGCAACAGCACTGTATCACGTCACATGCTTGCGCTTCAAATAGCGAGCACCGTAGACCCAACCTCGTTTCCAGGGTGTGGAGCAGGCTGCAGTACGCGTTGCCATCGACAGTTTTGCATAGCCCGGAATTACTACGCAGTGTAGACTTTCGATTGGTCAGACCGCGCAAGGAATAATGTGTAGTCCTTCGGAGTATTCGTTGCACTCGGCGCAGGGGCGGCAAGCGAAGCATATGAAAGTATAGGGGCACTTGGTGGCCACGCACCATGGAGAAAAAATATTTTACCAAGGTCACCCCATACTACAATTTGGTGAACTCTTTTGCAAAACGGCCGAGTAGAACACGTAAACGCAACCCCTACGTTGACCTCGCTGACCTCGCACAGTCTAGACACGCAGAAAAAGCCAGCACAGGGGGCGGCCAGGCAGTCAACGTGAAAGCGCACACGACGGCAAATTCCTGCGCAAAATGCAGTCACGAAAAATCGACTAAACGGATCGCCGGTCCGTACGGGAAAATCAGGACGACCCGAAGTGTCAGACCCGGCGGAAGACACCCTCCGCATTTTTCCACGGACGTGGAGCGATTTTGGCGCCGCGGGAGCCCGCGGTCTCGGATCCTTTCATGAGCAAACATCGTCTCGGAGGCCGAGTTAAACTCTCTCTTATATATATAGATATCATTATTTGACGGAGCTCTCTTCATCCGCGCCTGCCCGGATCACATCCATTGTCGCGATGCTATCTGCTAGCAACGTAATCGATGCTAATATCAGAAATGGTGGTCAGAGATCACTCGTAGAGGTAAAGGCTCTACTAAATCATCAAATAAAACAAAGTAGGAAGACAGTCAGTTTCCTAAGTCATAGAGCGAAAGTACTCAGTTGACGAGAATTATATTGTTATAACTTCACATAGAAACTTGTAGGCATTGTGTGAATAATACAGTACCTTAAACCCCCTTAAAAATGGAAAGCGCGTGTGAAAAACAACTAGGATCATTTTTTTTTTCATGCATTTTTTTTGTTTCCACCAATTAAACACCACTCGAAAACCAAAGAAGATTGTTAAATCCTACCCTGTTGAAGTTTCAGCTCAGCGGATATTGTACTGTTTGAGAAAACAGAGAAAACCCATGCGCATAACGTTTTGGTCACGAAACACGATTTGGTCAGTAGCACTCTATATTCAATAAGGAAAAAACACACGTCAATTAACTGATAGCTGGAAATTTATCACCCACATTTCTTGATTTCTTTGAAATGCCAGCAAGTCAGAAGAAACAATTTCACATTGTGTTATTACCAGTACGATGTTTTATCCACTAGCTTCTCGATGGGATACCTTTGGGATTACTGTACATAATGGTGGTGTTCCCTAACGTGGCGCACTTCGACGTTACCCGACTTTCCTCGTGTAGTGTTGCCCAACCGCTTTGGTGACAAACCTAAAAATCATGCAGTGAAATATTGGTACTTTGACCTGATTAATGCTCGCTATCTAACCTCTGTGAACAATTTCGGTTTTAATCAGAAATTCAAAAACGGTGTCGTCCGGAAATTGGGCACAAATTGGCAGAGTGTTCCCTAACGTGGCGCACTTGAATAAATCCCGGAAAATTCCAAATAAACATTTAAGAATTCCTGTAAAGGTGATAGATTCTGATAAACCATTATTATCTTTACTTACATACCCAACCAGAAGTTTGTCAGATTTTTATTATTTTTATTTTTCGGGGTATTTTCAAAGGGTTCACTTTGTACTTCAAAATATAATCGGAAAATCACGCCAAAATAAATGTTTCTTCTAACTTTGTAACGGGCAGATAAACTCGCAATTTATGAACGGGAGTGTTAAGAACTTGATGAAATTTCCCTTTCTGTGAAATTTCAGTTAAAACATTTGTTCTAGCTAGGCGCTACTGGCGAAAAATCAAAGTGCACTACGTTGGGGGCTGCGACACGTTAGAGTACATCAACAGTACATGTACATGTATATGCCCTTTAAACTAAGACAGTGAACATTTTTTGGTAAAAAAAATCAATTATTATCAAAAAACAATTATTATTAACTGACGCACATCTTTTTTTTACACGGCAGCTTGACCATGGAATCCAGAACACGTCCATCCGTATCTAACCAAGGTTTCAGCGTAATCGACAAGAGGCTTTCGGGACTGTCAGACTTCAGCCGAAGTCTCAACCTTAGCGTCCTGGTGAACGACCCGTCATTGAGAGAGGCCTACGCGGCAGCCCAGACAAATGGTCAGCTACCAACCAACCGTGCCCGGGTCCTGATCCTCGGAGAGCCTCGTGCCGGTAAAACCAGTCTTCTGAACCGGCTCCTGGGAAGGGAGTTCGACATCCGGGAACAGCCGACCGAAGGAATTGAGACGCGCATGTGTCACGTGACCAACGTGGACAAACGGTGGAATGAATCCGAAGGCGCCAAGGCAGATGACATCCAGGAGTGCGCCTCCGCGGTGACGGTTCTGGGCGGGGTATCCTCGGAAGGATCCACTGGAATCGACGTGAACGGGAACAAGAACTTCATCAAACAATCCTCCACCTCTGCCATCCCTGAGCCTTGCACTGCCTCTCTCATTGACCTGATGCAGACTACGGCACAACTCATACTTCTCGTCGGTGTTGTGTTCACCCTGGGAATATTCCAGTACGGTTACGTAGTCTTTGTGTGGTGTTCTATCGCAGCAACCGCTTTATTGCTGGACTACAACAACGCCTACCGGTTTGCGACATCCATGTCCTTGGTCGGCGTTCTCTTTGAAGCCATGGTGAGAACTGATCGGCCACTTGAAGTACTTGCCTGTAAAGATGACGAAGACGACGATTCTGGCTTGAAAGCTCTAAGTTTTACTGTGAAGAGCATCTTTTTTAATATGCTCAATACCGTCATGGTAGGTGTAGGCAATGGTTTAGGCTTTCGCACGGGCATTGCCGTTGCATTTTCTGCTTGCGTCCATCCAGCTGAGACCAACCTGACACTAACTACCGCCCTCCAGGGACTACAAGCATCCTGGAACATGTTTGTGCTGAGTGTAATCTTCGGAGGTGGGGGAGTCCTCGGATTGGGAAGTTACAAATTCTGCACGATCGATGGTCGTCTGCACAACAGTAGAGTTGCCATTTGCTGTGGTTTCATGGTCTTCCTACTTGGAATCTTTATAGAAGGAACGTGTCATTATCGACCTTACTGGTTTATCTTTTTGAACGGTTTTGTGATGACACTCCTTGGGACATGGGGTGCGATCTTTGGACGCAGGGCAGTGGTGAAATACGGCTTCGAGGCTAGTTATATGACCAAGAAAATCGCAGGGTTTATCCTAGGTTTGTACCTGGTGCACGTGTGTGGCTGGTCGTTGAGGATACCAGAAACTTCCTCGATGTCGCTTGCATTTTATATTGTGTCGGTCACTGCACATCCTCTGTTTGATCTTCACACAACTTACAAGATCTGGCGAGCGAAAAAGGCTTTCCCTATCAAAGTTATTCGGGACAAGATAAAAGCCATGGAACAAGGACGGCCTCTGTTGGAAACTAAGCTGAGTTTATGGGACTTTGCTGGTGACACTCTATACCACTGCACACATCACGTCTTTATGCCAGACAGAGCTCTGTACGTGATCGTGTTCAACCTACACGCCGCTGTTTCTGACGAAGATGGGCAGCTGCAGAAAATTCTCTTCTGGCTACATTCAGTCTGTGCGCATGCGCGCCATCCAGATGCCGTTGTTATCGTTGTCGGCACTCACAAGGCAAGCGTCTCTGAGGCAAGTAGGATGCACTTCACTGAAGTACTTCACCGAAGAATCACTTCTCCTTTCTGTCATCGGCTGGTTTTAAACCCTCTCGACGACAAGCCGCTGTTTCTCGTCGAGAATTCCCAATCTGTTGACGATGACTTCAAGCAGGTGAGGGCAGAAATATTCAGGCGGGTCGAGAGCGCAGAATACGCTCAGGAAAGATATCCCATCAAGTACCTGCACTTCTATCGCGAGATCCAGAATCGTCGAAAACTAGCAAAGACGGATTGCGCCGCTTACGTGATGACCTTGGACCAAATCAGCGATCTTGCAAGAGATACTTGCGATGTGGCAAACGAAGATGACATGAAGAGCATGCTGCGATTTTTCGTCGAGGCTGGAGAAATCATCCACAAAGGTGACGACATCTTGCAGCAACATGTCGTGTTGGACCCCCAGTTCTTAGTTGACGTCATGAAGAAACTCGTACGAATCCCGCGTGGTTCTAAGCGATCGCATCGCTTTGCTGTGGATTGGAGAGATTACGAAAGTAGTGGAATTATCACAGAGGGTCTGCTGCAACATATTTACAGCGACATGTCCCATCTTGTGCCACTTCTGACCAAGCTTCTGCTGGCCTATGACCTCATGTGTCAGGTGGCGTCTGGCTTAAATCCGAACTGCTCCAATAGGTTTTTCCTGGTACCTGCCATGCTGCCTCCTTACCGAGGTGAATCGATGGAGTTTTGGAAACCCCAGAGTAATGAGGAGGTCTTTTATTTCGACTTTGGTTTCTTCGATCCCAGCACCGTCTACTATCGTCTACTGGCCCGTTGCCTTACACATGCCAGTCTAGATAAGCTTGATTTCAACTCCAAGCCTCTGATTTTTGCAGACCGCTGCCGGTTCCACATCGGCACCAGCTTCATCTTCAAGTTGCAGCTGGAGAGACGTTCTTCCCAACAGATGCTTCTGTCGGTCACCGCCTTGGCCTTTGAGAAGCAACATCCCGTCTGGAAGCTCCTGAAATTCTTGCTGAATGCTGTGAGGAGCATAACAGCGAGGGACTACCCACAGTTGTGCTTCACATTCGGCCCTCGCTGTCCTTACTGCGTCCATGACTCGGGCTCATCGAGCGAGGACCTCTCAAAAGACACCTGTGAAAACAACAACAGAGAGGAGGCAAAAATCCACGTGCTGAAGATGGCCGGGAATGACCAGCCGTTCCCTGCGATATCCCCGGCCGTAATGCTCTGTGGTCAGAAAAGATACGAGTTGGTCCTGTCCGAATATAAATCTTTGGTAGGTGAATTCTCCTTTATAACCAATGATTAGCGACTAATTAACTAAGTTGTGAACACGTCCTGTTAGCTTAGCAGTAGCACCTCCACTGGTTTCACATTTCCCCGTTAAACTTTAACCTAGTACACCTAAACAAGTAAATATACCCTCTAAGATTCATGGGTAAAGGGGAGTATGATGGCAGGCTCGGGGTTTTTTTTCAAGTCTGTTTGAGATAGACTAACACTGCTCGAACTTTTCAGTTTTTAAGTAGCTCCCGCACTTTGGAAATGAGTTTTGCGGAACTAATTATTTTGAAGAGACCAGACATTTTTGTATGAGGGAGCAGGTGTTTACTAATTTAGTGACAATCTGGCAGCTGAAATAATTTGAAGTGAAACGTTTCTCCCCTCCCATTTCATACGACACAGGATGCGGACTGTGGTTCCTGCCATCTTCCACAACGGGTAGCATTCACTACGAAGACACCAATTACAAAACTACCTCCCGACCTCTTTCACAAGGTGTGCCAGCTGCTCAATAACTCCTCAACAACCAGGAACTGGAAAACCCTGGCAGGTAAGGCCTTGTGGCTTTCGACCACGAATATTCACCCTAACACACCGATGACCGAAAACACTAGGCCTATGCGATGTGGTAATAATCAAAATAAGATTCATATCTAACTCACAAGAGACGGTCAGTTAGTGAGATAATTACCCAGCATAAAACACTAGTGACACTCGGTCAACACAGGTGAGATGGGTAGCCGCCTCCAAATTTCCGCATTTTACCGTATAGGGGTACTTGTTCACGAAGCTCACAAGTGCCCCTATAAAAGGATCAGCAAAAGAAACTATAGTTGTGATTAATTGTGTCCTCCTACCTTTGTTTTGGCTTGTAGGCGAGTTGGGTAAAGACGTGGAGTCTGTAGCATTGTTGGACAGCCAGCGGATAACCAACCCCACCGAGTGTCTGCTGCGAGAATGGGCGATGATTGACGGTCACGTGACGGTCAACGACTTGCTGGAAGTCCTCGGTAGACCTTCACTCCTGCGGATGGATGTCATACAAGAAGTACGCTCCCAAATGGCACAAGAATGAACTTACTGCAAGAATCCTGAACAGCGCCTCCTAGTGCAAGACGTTGCCAATAAACTTTCTCTGCTCTTAGAATGTCCAATGCCCAGAACCAGATAATGCTGTCGTGCATTTCATTTAAATATGTTGTTGATCAAACAAGAATCTTCACAAAAAGGGGCTAATGGTTCAGGCGGAAGCGTTGTTTTTAAAATATTTTTTGAAGAGAAAAGGAAAACACTGACTTTACTAAGTCATTTTCCTTTTTACACGCAGCTCTCGATACACACTTTCGCACCATTGCTTGTAAGGCTCAAAGCATTTAGCCAATTAGTGTATCATTTTCATGTAATAAAAGAGGCAGCCATATGAGGTTGGAAAAAAAACAAGATATTACGCAAACGAAGCCACCTTGCTTGCCATAGCCCTCAAAATGTAAATGATGATCAGATATTGTAGAAACGTTACGAATTCACGTCAATAGTGGGCGCAGATGCCTTTAGTCTGTTTAAGCTCTGATTTTATACATTTTTTTGTCTGTGACCTTTGGTCAGCACTTCCGTGTGCGCATGTCCCGTACGCACGGAGTGTACCTACATCGCGATCGTTATGGTTTCAATTCGTGAAAGAGGTCAACAACCCTTAAAATGGATCGGTTGGTAGGAGCAAAGCCACAAGAGGGCGCTTTATTAAGCGAACTGTAGACAAATTGTGACATAACTGCAACCTTGGTCCGCATGCCGATTGAACTTTGCACTACCACCACCAGTATCGGGCTTTCATGCTGTCGGGCTGACGGGCTGTCAGTCTGTAGTGCTGTCGGTATGTCTGTCTGTCTGTCTGTCTGTCTGTACAAACAAAATACCGACAATTTTAGGCTGGCGCCTCGTGATTTACAATTAAGCATCATTACCTTCATCTCTGAAAGTGTCAAGAGAAACATCTCTAGTGCATGCTCTGTCTTAATTTCAGTCGCATGATATAATGCAGTGGATCATTCTTTTCAGCGTTGAGATGTATACAAGCTATAGTTGTCATTATACAAACAGATTTTGAATAGACCGATCCATTTAGCCCGCCCATTGCACACGTAAGTAATTCATAATGTGTTCCTCTCCCATTGATCTCCATTCTCAATTCTACCATGCGTACTTCACACGGTTTAGCAAAGCACGAATGGAACCGTATGCTTACGCACCTCCAGCGTTTATCCAATAGTCGCTAGTAATCAGTGGTGCGCGCGCGTGTATGACGCTTTTACTATCCGGTTCGTTAGTGTGACGTCACCTCCAGCACTTTCTGCACGATTGGAACCGGAAGCTAACGCAGCTCGGGCGTTTGTAGCCAATGGGCGCTAGTAATCCATGGTGGTCGCGCGTGTATGACGTTTTTACTAACGAACCGGATAACGAACCGGATACTGCATGTTCCAGCTGTGCGCGTCATACGCGCGTGCACGTGCATCGGACTTTTGTGTACGTATGTCGGACATTATTCGCGACTGTGATTGGTCAAAGCACCAGTGGGCGGGGCTAATGTTTCATTATATTAATTTTGTAGAATCTGTACTTAGATTGATGCTGTGCCTCCTGCACTGTTTACTCCAATTTTAATACGAGCAACAGTCTGGGAGTATTTCTTAATTTTTTTTAGTGTACTCCGCTAACGCAGTTCCCTGAATGTATTATTTGCAATCAGTTAGAATATTGTGATACCAGTCTAAAGTATGTTTGGATTATTTGTTTTTCCACTGAAATTATTTTCCACTGAACATTTTGAGTTTGTAAATATGGCTTATAAATAAAATCCAGTCAGAAAACGAAACCAACTTTTTAATTTTCTTGTATAATAATCTTACAACAACCACTATTAAAGCTTCTCTTTCGTTTTTTTTTTTGTCGGGCCATCTGTTTCGCAGTGTGGATACCCAAATAATAATACTACTGATAATAATAATGTGGTGCTTGTATAGCTCTTATACCAAAGGTCTCAAAGCGCTTCACGTCTATTACCCCTGTTCATCAGGTTATGAGATCAGTTTTTGCAGCATCTCGAGATCAGAACATTCTGGTCTCTACCCTCACAGGCACCCATTCATACTCCTGGGTGGAGAGAAGCGGAGAGAGTAGTTAAATATCTTACCCAAGAACACACGCACCATGTTTCCCGTCAGGGTTCGAATCCACGTACCACGGCACGTGAGTCGACCACCGTAACCATTGGACGACAGCGCTCCACGAAAGGAAAGGGTATTTTTAAAATATGGGATCACTGTCATATTTCGTTGCGTGATTAGTATTCCAGTATTGAATTAGTATTGAAGACTGCCAGAGGCATCATATTTTTTAAACGCTTAACTGAGGGAAGAATTGACAACGTTTATGGCATTTCAAGTGTTTTCATTAAGTGATTTCAGACTTTGTTGTTTGCAGGTTTTTTTATTTAGGCGCATCTCTCATTTCAGGATCGTGAATTTGCCTGCGTATTTTGTTGTGTGTGGGTAGTACTCAACAAAACGTCAAAAGTCTGCTCAGTTTTGTTCCGTTCATCTAAAGTTTGTGTTAAAACCGATAATGAATAACTAAACAGTGCCCACGCAACCCGGACTTTGGTTCACTGCTTAAGTGAACATCCTGGTTTCAGTTCATATCGGCAGGGATGATTTGCAATATCGTGCATTTGTTTGCCTCCAACGTGAACAATTTAAAGCAACAAGTTTTCGCCTTCAATAGGCCTGTTGGCTCGTAGAGTCCAAAGCTGGAAGAGTGCAATGGATCATTTATACGGGTGATGAGTGTAATGTTGGATGCAGCTTACACCTCATCCACCGACGCCATAAGCGGGTAGACGACATTGCATCAGTGAGTTGGCCGCTATCTCGCGAGATATTAGTGTATTAATTTAGCCTATCGAGTGCGTGGTATTGGCTGGTTAGCATCGTAGGCTAGGCATACATTGGGAACCCAGTGCCTGGCACATGCGGCTGTTGGTGACTGTGTGTACATGTGTCGGAGTGTCTGTGAGTATTTGTCAATTTAGAGCTCGCAGTACCACTTCTAAACGTAATAGTATTGGTATTCAATATGAATTATTACTATACCTCATGCATATTCGTGATCGAGAGCCGAACTCTCACTGGTCAATTCACCGTCACATGCCAGATGTTATTTTTGCTGTTTAGGGTAAATACGCATGCGTAGTAGACTGCATGTCGCACGGGTTACCCGTGGAACAGTATACTACGCATTCGCTTCACAAAGCAATCGTGGAACTTTCGCACGGGTGTAGTATTGGAAGTTGACAAACTAGTAATAGTTTGTCAACTTCCAATACCGAGGGGAGCTAATATCGACTGTCCACACCAAATAAACCATAATATATTTGTTTTACTATGCCTCATACATATGCAGTTGCCGATTTGTTTTTCGTTGCCGAATGCAACTTAATTAAAATCTTCGGAGAAACTTGTCCAGTTCACCCAAAAAATATTATTGCTCAAATTCACTAGTTCAGTTCGTTTGCAATACAGTACAGTTGTAAATACAATAGTTTGTGGACATTATTGGATCATTTTGCAAGATTTTTGAACACGTATGCAAATGAGGAATAGTCTGGTGCCTGGATATGCGTTACATTAGCGCTTGTTTTTGTATGCGGTGTCTGGGGAAAAAAACAGAGTCAATTCGTCGCAGCGCGAGCATGGCGTGCGTTACGAAAACACGATTTATTTAATTAAACTGTTACGATCTTATCGAAACAATATGCAGTATCACATTTCATATTAATATGAACAAATTGGAAAGGAAATGAGTATTTTTGAAAAGGCGTGGACGAATGATCCCGAAAACACGTACTGCACGTTTTGAATAACAACACCAAGTACACAATAAAAATCCATTTCTAGCCAACTGCAGAATCGAATATGGATACAGGAAGAAAGTTTCCTATCCAGGGTTTACTATTGGAAACGCGGTTGGAAATAAAGTAAGCACTGGGGACGAGGTTGGGTAGCCGTTAGTATCTATACAAAATATATATACGGCACGTGACTAAAACGGGAGGAATGCCTCCTTTTTCCGAAAATGACCGAAGTTTGCCGAATAGATTTTGTCGAAATCTCAGAAAGCGCCCGGGAATTTCTGGGTATAAAATAGGTTTTATTTAACTACCTTGCTTATTAAAAATTTAAAAACTAAGTTGATAATTAATTTTCATAAATTGGATCAAGAAACTTAAAATTCAATGACGATTTTGTGCATCAATAAATGTGCACTAGGATCGTACGAGGGGTGAGCTTTGTTGCGTATTTAAATCTGGCGACGGTTTATGGGGTTTTCCCAAAACTCGGCCTGGTCTCCATTTTGGCTTTGCCTGCTAAGATGATATTTCGGTCCCTAACTTTTAAGATTATAGGTCAACCTTCGTCAATGTTTTCTTACTGAAATATCAAAATGTGTGACAATGAAGCAGGTAATGTTTTTCAAAACGTGATAAAGCGAATTCGGAAACGAAGCCGAGCTTTGAAAAAGGGCCGTCAATGTCGTCATGTTTATTTTTAGCCCCGTTGGCTGCCTGACCTACAATTTAGACGTCTAGGCGTCGGGGGAAATTGTCAACCAGACTAGAGATCATAGGGTTACCCGTGCGAATGTCTACTACGCCAGCGCTTTACGAAGCAATAGTGGAACTGTCGCACGGGTGTAGTTGGCACGCGCCAACATCGCCCTAGCTAGCTAGCTACACATGTAAAGATTGCGGCACACGTAAATGTTAATCAGCAAGCTCAATGATGCCGAACTGGAGAATATTGTGGACAATAAAGATGCCTCGTCTACTAAAAAGCTTTCCACGATGCGAAGTAAACTCTTAGAAGTTATGAATTGCAAACAAACTGAACTTTTCTGAGGTTCCGCAATAATCTTCTTCTGGTGAGCTGGGACAAGATTCTCAGAGAGTATATGCCGATGTGCGTACTGCAACGGGAAAATTCGGCAACTGAATATGTATGAGGTATAGTGAAAAAAAGTTTACCTGGTATATTTCGGGTGGATATAGTCAATATTAGCTCCCCTCGGTATGAAGTTGGCAAACTAGTTATTAAAACAGGCGTCACGCGCGCAAGGGCGGATCCAGAACACAATTGAGGGGGGGGGGCAAAAAATTATGGTCCCCAAAAATTGAGTCAACAAAATTATGGCGTGGGGTTCGGGACCCGCTTAAGGGCCCCGACATTTTCTTGGATTCTAGATGCTCTGTGGTGCGATCTGAGGCAATTTCTGACCACTTTAACCAATGTTTTTTTTGAGGAAAAGATGGTGGTGTACTCATGGCCTGCCTTTATTGCGACGTCACATAAAACAAAATGGGTTTTTTTATGGGGGGGGGGGCATGGCCCCCTTGCCCCCTCCCCCCGGATCCGCCCTTGCACGCGCGTCACGTTTTGGCGCGCGTCACGTTTGGCTCGGTCAAAACCCGACCTTGACCCCTATCCCGCCACTGCATTGACGTGTAAAGCGGGGTATTGCGCAGTCTCGTATTTTTTTGTCCTCTTAACCCCAGATTTCCCGCAAAAAAAACCAGCTGCAGTTTTTTTCTACGACTTAGCTGTTCGTTCTGAATGTGGCACAACAAATAACTAACAAGTAGATTGTATTCATGCAAGTGGAAAAAGTGTCCTAAACTTCACAATCATTTAAAAAAAAAAGGAAAAAAAAAGGATTTTCTGCAAATATGCGTATTTTTGCCAATACTGATATGGTACTGATTATAGCATTGGAATTAGGATTGTTATGCTCGTCATTTCATCTTGAACACTGCTTATCTCCTCATGGTGAATGCGTTCATTCTCTTTTGAGAGTTCCCAATACGTCATGCACGGTAAATGGAATTAGTAATTTAGTTTAATATTATATTGCGTGTGTGAGAGGAAATGTCTATGAAGAAGATAGTTTTAACTATTCGGTTTTAGTATTTTCTTTACATTTATTACATAGTCCAAGCTTCTGTATTCATGTGGATATAGATTTCCTTATTGTGTCAGCATAATAAAAGTAACACCAATTAAAATAGTATATTAACACGATAAAACAGAATGAAATTAATTACTTAAAATGTACTTTTGTGTATAAAAGTGTTACTTTTTGTGTTCAATCCAATCAAAGTATTTTTTTCAAAAAGGGTAGCTTATTTAAAAAAGCAAAAAGCGACCATAATATTATGGTCCTTGCATGAAGTCACTTAGTGTTTTTTGTTTTGTGAAGGAGTGTAAGATGCCAAACACGTATGCGTCGTGGCACCACATTCCAAAATTCGTGAGAGTCAGTATTCACCAGGACTTTAAACCACTAAAGTCATTGTATAAACATACAAAGGCATTATAATAGGCAGTTTCGATAGCCTGTAGGCCCAAATAACCTTTCTAACAGTTCGCTAAAGTGCTCCTGGTAAACGTCTTGGTGCAATTCTGTTCACCTCGGGCAAGAGGAAATTGAATCTGACTCATGAAAACATCATTATAAGGCATACGATTCTGCTCTTTGTGCTGTTTTTCCGTTTAAAGCACCGAAATTGATCCACAAATTTAATAAGGTGCAAAAGCTTTGGCTGTTACTTATTTCACCAAAAAAACCCATGAACATGCTCATTTTGTTGTTCAAATTGAAAAAGAATAATTTCGGTCGGCGCTCGAGTGAACACTCAATCTACTCGGATAAATTTTACTATAAAACGTCGGGACCTTAACTTCATTCAGTGGGCGGATTTTCCATTTAAGACGTGTTTATACCCTTTTTTATTCAGAATAATGGAAAGCAATATCCCGCAGAAACTAAATCTCTGACCAATGTTGGCAGCTCCCTTCGTGCACACCAAAGATCTTATAGCGCCAAAAGCGCAAGATGGGGAACTCCATAGAAATTGCGAAATCGCCATGGACGCCAATCGAGCAGCAAACCATTGTGCAAACCATTGTTCGCACAATGGTTGGCTTACTCGAAGCAAACCATTGTCTGTTCACAGACTCCCGAAAGAATAACAAACATTGCTGGGAAAACACCCACTGGCTATAGATGTTCTCACTTCCGTGAAGGTTATTGAAACTGAGCAGCACTCTGTGTTACTGTGATTCGTTTCGTTCGAAATCAGAGAAGCATTTCTGTGTGCATTGATATGAGCATGCATAGTCATGATGAAAAATGACATTTTTTTAAAATTAAAATGAATCCTAAATTTTTCGTCTATTTATTTCAATTTTAGACAATGAACATCACGAAATTATCTTCAACGGGGCGCAACAGCGATTCTGTAGAGGCTCTGGCTCCGATTTCAGACTTCAGTAGAAGTCTTCATCTCACTGAGTTGTTGAAGGATAAATCCCTGAGAGAGGCATATGCAGCAGCGCAGGCGGACGGTCAGCTACCAACCAACCGAGCCCGGGTCCTGATACTCGGGGAGCCTCGTGCCGGTAAAACCAGTCTTCTGAACCGGCTCATGGGAAGGGAGTTTGACATCCGGGAACAGCCGACTGAGGGGATTGAGACGCGCATGTGTCACGTGACCAACGTGGACAAACAGTGGAACGAATCCGAAGGCGCCAAGGCAGATGACATACAGCAATGTGCCTCAGTGGTGACTGCCCTTGGTGAAATGTCGTCGGCTATTAAGGCAACGACACTCGGATCTGATACATCGAGGAAGAACGACCCCACACAAACGCACACGTTGCCCGATTTAATGAAAATAGGTCTACAGCTATTTTGTTTGTTCGTAGTTGTGTTTGGACTTTGCTTGTTAAAGTACGGGTATACGGCATTTGTATGGTGTACATTCGGGGCATTAACCTTGATGCACAACTACAACTTTGCGTATCGGTTGGCAACGTATATATCTTTGTTCTGCGTTCTCTTTGACACAAAAATCAGAAGAGATATTTTGATAGAAGCTCCGAGCTGTCAGGAGAGGGAGGACGGGTTTGAAAACCGGACAATTTGGTCTACTTTGCAGAGCATGGTGTTGGATGCAATAAATAGCATAATGTTGGGTGTAGCCAATGGTTTCGGTTGTCGCACAGGTGTCGCCGTTGCCTTCTCGGCGAGTCTTCATCCAGAAGAGATTAAGGCGACTCGAGAAGCTGCTGCTGAGGGTCCCGTTATCTCATGGGACATGCTCGTGTTGAGTGTGATATCAAGTGCAGGAATACTTCTTGGCATTGGATGCTACTCTTTTTGTACATTCAATGACAGGTGGCATAAATACAGAACTGCTACGTGCTGTGGCCTTCTGGCGTGGCTACTTGCACTGAGCCTCAAAGGAGACTGCAGAAACAGACGCTACTGGTTCCTGTTTCTGAACGGAATTATGATGTCAATTCAAGAGACATGGGGGATGATTGTTGGTCGGAGAGCTTCCCATAAATACGGAGTCAGAGCTAGTTACGTTTCGAAGAAGATTGTTGGCTTCATCTTTGGCCTGTACCTATCATACATCTTAGGCTGGACAATGAGGATACCAAACTCTAGTTTGCCGTCCGTGACATTGTACCTTCTTTCCATCATGGCACATCCCTTATTTGATCTTCACAACACTTACAAAGTATGGCGAGAAAAGTCAACCTTCCCCGTAAAACTTATCCGTGAGCAGATGAAAACTGTACTCCAAAGACAACCAGTCTTAAAGACCAAGCTGAGTTTATGGGACTTTGCTGGCGACACTTTATATCACTGCACCCATCACGTCTTTATGCCGGACAGAGCTCTGTACGTGATCGTCTTCAACCTACACGCCGCCGTTTCTGACGAAGATGGGCAACTGCAGAAACTTCTCTTCTGGCTACATTCAGTCTGTGCGCATGCGTGTCATCCAGATGCTGTTATCATCATTGTCGGCACTCACAAGGCAAGCGTCTCTGACGTTAAAAAGTTACGTTTTACTGAAGAACTTCACCGTCGAATCACACCTCATTTCTGCCATCGGCTGGTTCTAAACCCTCTCGACGACAAGCCGCTGTTTCTCGTCGATAATTCCCAACCAGTTCACGAAGATTTCCAGCAGTTGAGGGCACAAATATTCAGACGGGTCGAGAGCGCCGAATACGCTCAGGAACGATATCCCATCAAGTACCTGCTCTTCTATCGCCAGATTCAGAATCGTCGAAAGCTGGCAGAGACGGATTGTGCCGCTTACGTGATGACCTTGGACCAAATCAGCGACCTTGCAAGAGATACTTGCGATGTGACCAATGAAGACGACTTAAAGAGCATGCTGCGATTTTTTGGCGAGGCTGGAGAACTCATTCACAAAGATGACGACGACATCTTGCGACAACATGTCGTGTTGGACCCCCAGTTCTTAGTTGATGTCATGAAGAAACTCTTGCGAATCCCGCGTGGCTCTAAAAGGTCGCATCGCTTTGCTGTAGATTGGAAAGATTACGAAAGTAGTGGAATTATCACAGAGGGTCTGATGCAACATATTTACAGCGACATGTCCCATCTTGTGCCACTTCTGACCAAGCTTCTGCAGGCCTATGACCTCATGTGTCAGGTGGCGTTTGTCTTAAATCCAAAATACCCCCAGAAGTCGTTCTTGGTTCCTGCCATGCTGCCTCCTTACCGGGGTGAATCGGTGAACTTTTGGAAACCCCAGAGTAAAGAGGAGGTCTTTTATTTCGACTTTGGTTCCTTCAATCCCAGCACCGTCTACTACCGTCTACTGACCCGTTGCCTGACACATGCCATTCTAGACAAGTTTGATTCCAACTCAAAGCCTTTGATTTTTGCAGACCGGTGCCGGTTCCACATCGGCACCAGCTTCATCTTCAAGTTGCAGCTGGAGAGACGTTCTTCTCAACAGATGCTTCTATCGGTCACTGTCTTGGCGTTTGAGCAACAAAATCCCGTTTGGAATCTCCTGAAATTCTTGCTGAACGTCGTGAAGAGCATAACAGCGAGGGACTACCCACAGTTGTGCTTCTCATTCGGTCCTCGCTGTCCTTACTGTGTGCACGAAGCCAACTTGGGAAGATCAATTGACGACATCTTAAAAGACACCTGTGAAAACAACATCCGAGAAGAGGCAAACATCCACGTGCTGAAGATGGCCGGGAATGACCAGCCGTTCCCTACGATGTCCCCGGCCGTGATGCTCTGTGGTCAGAAAAGATACGAGTTGGTGCTGTCGGGATATAAATCTCTGGTAGGTGTATCCATTGCTTGGAAACTCTCCCTTAATGCATGGAGACTGATTAAGAGAGTTGTGAACACATCTTTGTCTTTCGGCAGTGGGCATGTTTAGTACGTTCCTCGGGTTAGAATAACACCTCCACTGTCTTCACGTTTTCCCAGTAACCGTCAACCAGGTAGACAAACCACTAATATAAAACAGGCCATCTACAGTTCATTGATAAAGGGGCGGGATTCTAATAGCCGGCACGGTTCTACAGTGTTTGAACTTTAGAGTTGGTGAGTAGCTCGCTCAATTTAGAAATCAGTTTAGAGAAACCTACTCTTAATTAAGACCAGGCACTTTTTTGGAAGACAGCGGGCATTTATCCAGTTCATTGACAAAACAATTTGGATTTGATCATTTCTCCCCTCCTCTCCCATTTCATACGACACAGGATGCGGACTGTGGTTCCTGCCATCTGCCACAACGGGTAGCATTCACTACGAAGACACCAATTACAAGACTGCCTCCCGACCTCTTTCATAAGGTGTGCTTGCTGCTTAACGACACCCACGGCATCAGAAACTGGAAAGCTCTGGCAGGTGAGACTTGTTAGCTTACGATTACTATGACTATTCACCTTAGCTTGCCGATGATAAAAAAAAACAACCTAAAGCCATAGCCATCTATATAGTTTCCCGTTCGGTTACGACCAAAATAAGACTAATTGCTCTAACGTCAGAAAAAAAAAACCAGAACATTAGATTCCTTTGAAAACCAAAACAGTGGTTATACAAGTTAATCAACTACAGCAAAGCTTAAAATATTAAAATGGAGGACATGGAAAGGAATATAATGTAAAATAAACCTGGCTTTAAACCTTCTTCCATTTACTTTCAACAACTTGGGAAACACAAGGAAAAATGGACTATGAGCTGAATTTCTGCTTCCGACCTCTGGAACACTGTACCGGCGCGCTAGATCAACTAAGCTATCTTGATCTATGTTGGCAGTGCCTTTGCTCAAGATGAGCTAGGTAGCCATATCAACAAAGACATTCTAATATTGCCTCACCGCGTTAATCATGTACAGCTGGATAGCTGTAGTTGGTGAAGTGCCTGTACGCCATTCCAGAGGTCACAAGTTCACCCCCCGCTGCAGTCAATTTCTTTGTTCACTCAGTCAGTGAGAAAGGTAACCTGTCCAAAATACAAGTGACACTCGGTCAATTAGTGAGAAAGGTGCAAAAAGAACACTATGATATCCTTCTAGGATCAGCAGTGAAACGTTTAATCGGTATTCAGATCCTTCTTCCTTTTTTGGCTTGTATAGGCGAGTTGGGTAAAGACGTGGAGTCCGTAGCAGTGTTGGACAGCCAGCGGATAACCAACCCTACCGAGTGTCTGCTGCGAGAGTGGGCGATGATTGACGGTCACGTGACAGTCAGCGACTTGCTGGAAGTCCTCGGTAGACCTTTACTTCAACGGATGGATGTCATACAAGAAATACGTGCACAAATGGCACAAGAATGAAGTGTGGTGGAAACAACTGCATTGGTCGCACTAGTTTGGTTTTATACTGAGACGGAGCTCATTACCGGCCACCCAATGAATTCTCTGAATTCACAGTTCTGAAACTACATGTACAAGAAACAGACTATCAAGTAAATATAATTGGTAGTTTAGATTTGAATATTTTGAAAAAGAAACACTCCTGGCGATGGCCAGTGGAAACGCGAGTGAATACTCGATCTATTCAGTGGAATAAATTTCAAGCATTGACAGGTCATTTTGCATAATTGTTTAATAATGTAAAGTTGTAAATCCATTGTAAAAAAAAAAAAATCACCCCAGTTTAAACTCAACTGAATACTCGGTGTGATGGGTTGAATGAATGTCACTGTAGGTTGTCTTGTGCGTCGTATCAGTCGCATGGATTGTTGAGTTGTGAATATTCTATGGAAAGAAGAAAACAATTATGAGAACAAATGAAATAAGGAAGCAATCGTGATAACATAATACACAAGTTTGATAAACTCGTATGTCGACGGAGTGTTTGGACAAACCAATAACTCAGAAACAAGCAGTCCTCTAATCGGATATCTTTTGGTCTATATTTTTGTAGATATTATCTGCGTCGCGTAGGGACGCTACTTTCATTCAATGAAATGTAATGAAACGAATTTGAACACACTTTTCATAGCATTGTTTAAACTGTAGTTTGTCGAATGATTGTTAATCAACAGAGGGGGCACGTCCACTTTAACGGTGGGGCGCGCTGATACAAATTGTGAGGTCGTGAAAGGGCATCAGTTTGGGATTATTTTGTTGGAGAAGAAGTTATTCTCTGTTTCATCTCCACAGTTTTATGCTAGGGAATTATAAACAATTACTTTAAGTGTCTCACTGTTTTATTTCCAATCTTTGCTTCATTATGAGGGAGACGTGATATCCGCCAAACCTGCCGAGTGTCATACGTTTTGGCTATACAGAATTGGGGTTAACATTTATGTAAAAAATGCACATGGTAAAAAATGTAAAAATGCATGTAGCAACATATCGCCCGGTTACATACATGTACATGCACTGTAATGCATGTAGGCCGGTGTACATGTACATGTACAAACACAAAATGTAGATTATGCATTTAGAGTGGATGATAACCTGTATATGAGTAATTATGAATTAAAAAAAAAATTGGACATGATAATTTATTAGAATTGTGAATGTATCTAGTGTAATAGGTTTTTCTTTGAATGTACACGATGGAGATATAAACAAGTGGCAGTGCAGGCCTTAATTGAGTGGGCAACCCAAACATGGTGTCAAGACTCTGTCTTCGGACTCTAAATGTTTAAGTGTTTTTACCAAGCCTGCAATAGACGGTTATCCGCTGTTGGCTGGTTGAAATAAAATAAAATAAAGTAAATAAAACAATAACACTACAGTTTTATAAGAAAACAATGTCTACACCTTATGACGTTCTCCAAACATCGATAGGTTCATCTTTCGTTTCAAATGTGTGCATTCTTCTCTTTTTTAGCAGTTTCTTGGCACAATCTCCAGTGCCACTCCTCATTTCCATTTGACCTTTGCCAGTTATTCCCTCAATCATAACAATTATTCTAACATTGAACATGTCCCAGAAAAAAACACTCAACCAATTGATCAGGCCATCAATCTTGATTTCAGTATTAAGATTGAAAAAAAAGGGTTTCAGAAGGATTTGAACCGACGACCTCTGGAATTTTGTGCTCTTACTGTCGAACTATCCAGCCACATCAATTTGGTGACTAATCAATAGAACCCTTTCTTTTGAGTTCAGCGTGACCTGCGGAGGAAGAACAAGCTCTTCCAACTCATCAAAGGATTACGTGCAATCGTTTTTTGTCAGCAAGATCGTCGTCCTGTCGGCAACATCGTATGTCCGTTGACAAATGTGCCTGGATGAAGAGCGCCACCTATTTTGTCCGATAGTGCCCACGATTGTCCGCTTTGAATAGTTCACGCTATAGGAAGATGGTGTCCACCTACCCACCCCAGCTCCGCACTGCTTTTGGATTTTACGGAATCGGGTGACCGGGAAAAACAGTCTACATTTAAGAACGTATGGCCTGTCGGCAAATGTGTTGTCCCCCATTCAAAGTAGTCTATAGCGATGCGCCTTTTGTAATCTTGTTTGGTTTGATGGCACAGGATGTTAACATTATAAAGGTATTTATTGCAAATAGGGAAAAATGTGCATCACAATGGGGGTTGCCCTGGCTATCGGTGAATCGTTTCAATTTTTCAGATCTTTTCTGTTCATTTGAAGAAAAAATATGTTCGTCTTGATTTTCCCTTGTCTATATTTGAAAAGAACAGCTTTATCAGCAACACCATGTTCACATACATCTCAGTTTCGCATGTGGCAAATGGCATAAAAAAGTCTGTCACGAGCCAATGTGGCCCATCAGGCCGGCGCTTATCTCAGGTTTCAGTAGCATGAAACGACTGAGAACATTTTTATTCCCCCTGGATGGAATGCTATAGTCCATCGCAGGCTTTTCCTCAGCTAAAGACGGTACCCATCTATACTCCTACGTGGAAAAGGGCAAGTGGGGGTGAAGTGGCTTGCCCAAGGACACAACATATTGGCCAACATTATGGTCGGTCGTTTGTGAGCACTACTGCTTCTCTTTTTGACTTTATTTGGAAGAGAGCGCCCTTAATACTGTTAATATCCTATTGACATCTGTTCGGTCAGTAAAGTTCATTTCCGTTTCCTTCCAGGACTTCCGACCACTGCACTTTCAACTTGTAGCGCGGCGAGCTAGGCCGCCCACAACAACAGGAAAACCCAAATGGAAAGCACTCCTAATGCAGTGTGTATCAAACAAAATTAATACATTTAGAAACAAATAGTAATAATACTAGCTCCCAGTTTGTTTAATAATAACTTATATACACTTAAAGGATGATTATTGCTCAACACAATGCTGTCTTCCCTATCTCATTTGGACACCAAAATCCAGAGATATATACAGTTAATTGAAAGGGATGATATGTCAATGTGGTCCAATTTGCAGCAAAGTGGATGAAAGGAGACGAACATGCCAGCAATCTATCTGCTGGCCAACTTACCTGTTGTTCTTTGCACTGCAAAAACTGTGGTGTTAATTTAACACCATTCGATATCTATATAGGACAACACCAGTAAAATTTAACACCAGATGGTCCTATATAGATACCAGTGGTGTAAATTTAACACTGCAGTTTTTGCAGTGTGCCAATCAATATTTAGTTGAAACCTATGATTCGTTAATCGTTTACATAATCATTGGAGCATTAGTTTAGATTGTTCCAACTTAATAACGATTGAGTTTTTGGCACATTTCTCATTTCGATACCGTAAAGGCGTACTTATTTTGCTGTGTGGTATTCGACAAAGGGTCAACAAACTGCGTATTGGTATGTGTTCCTGGAAGGTTGAGTTTAGAAATTGAAAGTAGTGTTTGAACAAACAATGCCCACCTATGTCGAGCTGCATCGAGTGAACATCCTGGTTTCAGTTCATGCATGATACTGATAGAAAGTGACCTGTAGATATTGTGATTGCCTTTGCCTCCAACGTTACGTGAACAGTTTGTCACATTTAAGTACCAAGTTTTCGCTTTCGATAGACTTGTAACAGCTATAAGAGTGCCGTCATATATGTACGAGTGCTGACTCTAACGTTTGAAGTATACAACCCACACCTCATCCATACCGAAGCGAGCATCAGTGAGTTTACCGCTATCTTGTAAGAGACTCGAAGGTTTGGGTCCGATGTGTAACAGGCGATCCGAACATCCCTTCCATTAGACATATTGTTGATGATAGCAGTTTGACAAAGGTAAGTGTGTCACCATCCAAATTCAAATCTGTACCCATACCAAAGGTTTAAATGCGTGCTGTTTGCGTACCCTACAGCGTGTGTCAATAAAAACGCAGGATTCAAAGCGATTTTTTTCTGAGAACATTATGCTACTGGTGTGCCTAATTTGATAAGGATTTGATTGTCCATAATTTCATCTTTGACAAGATTTTTGTTTGGTGGTATTTGGACTTTTGGTTCAAAAGTTATGACAAGTTTTGTGAAGCCCTTCTGAAGCTGGTTGGTCTGATTCAATGACCTTAACACAACGACCAGTTATGTACAATGCAGGTATGCATTGAAGACAATTAAACCAGAACAAAACTTTCTTTGAAACAACTGATGATAAGTATCACTTAAATTTAATAACTGGACTATCATTGTTGTAATTATTGACTAATAACATTGATTGTGGACTAAAGGATTATGTAAGCCTAATCCTGCCACACATGTCCTTCTTTGTGATCCACAAATACTTTCACCTGTACTGAATTCAAACCTTTCATTAGGTATGTGTGATTTCACAAATCAGACCAGCTTGGAATTTATAACCCTTCTTCAATGTACTCTATCTCTGGACAGGATTGTCCAAATGAGATGGGATAAAAAGCATAGTGAAGAGAAGGAAAGGTACTTTGAAAAGAGGGTTAACATTATGATGAATAGGGGTGGTTTATATTCTTAATATTTTTGTTTCTAATCCTGCGTTTTTATTGACACACGCTGTAGAATAAGAAAAGCGCGGGAGTGCCCTAAGGGTGACATTAATATACATCTGAGATTCTGGCTAAATATAGGGATATTCAAAATTGCGGGTTAGTGTGGCGGGAGGGGAGTGTGGCTTAGTGGTTGGGGTTTGTGACTCATGATCAGACGGTTCGGGGTTCGAATCCAGCTGCTGGCCATACATGTATGTTGTGTCCTTATGTTGTGTCCATATGTTGTGGCATTAGCTGGGGAGTAACCTGTGATGGGCTGGCATCCCATCCATGGGAACCGGAATAGACATATTCTCAATTGTTTCATGCTACTGATACCGGAGATAAACGCCGGCCTCATGGGCCACATTGGCACTACGTGACAAACTTGACTGTACTTATTAACAAGTCAGAGAGCTTGAAGTTACAATCATGGCATGAACTTTCCCTTTGGCCTTAAAAAGACCCTGTCGGGGTAGAAAAGTCAAGCTCTTCAACTGTTTTTTTTTTTATTTGTTCACTTCAGGTCAATCCTGTCACTGATTAATTTGCAGCATTTGTATTCATTTTGCATGTCTGTTTACTTATCTCAACTTTTAGGAATCCTTTCACGTTTTTATTTCACAGATAGTTGAACACTACATTATCATCTAAGTATATGCCGAATTTCAGCTTAATCTGTTTTTGAAAACGCTTGTGTTACACCTTGTACTATCACCAAGTCAATTTTGACTCGGATTTTTGCCGAGCAAAACACGTGGTCTACGCGGTACGTATATAGCTCCATGGGTATACCACAGCCGATTTGGCCGCAACGGTGACGTGGCGCGTTATTAGCATATTCATTAGCGTGACACGGCGCGACTTCGCGTGGGTCTTGGTATCGACCTATGGAACACCGCCAAAAAGGTTGACATTGATCAATAAATAACTCGTAAAGGAGGGGGTCGTACACATTTGTACTGCACACCACATATGTATAGAAACCTTATCAATATTCGTGAGGCTTGAAAAGATTTACAGATATTGCAAAAAGCATTTGTTACAGCTTGGAAAATAGACGAACCCAAGCTGATTTTTCACATTTTAATGAAAACTACAGAACATATCGAAACGATGTTAGCACATAGTTGGATCAAGGAGAAAAACTCCGAAAGTGGCATAAAGATACGGTCTTCAAAACGAGAGAAAACGATGCTCATAGATTTTGCCCACAAACATCAAAATGTCTGTTTAACGGTAATTTGAGCTAGTTTCAATCAAAATGAAGTATTTGGAAATTGGCCAAATCAACCTTAGCAAACGTCAGACTGTATATGGCGTTGGGTCTGGGGTGAGATCTCCATTAATCGTTTTTGGCGGAAAAATCGTCCTCCTGTCGGCAAAATCGTAGGACCGTGGTTAAAATGTGTAAGGTTGAAGAGCGCAAATTATTGACCGAATTTGTCCTTGAACCGCACCCCTATCGGATGGTGTCAAGCCCCTAATCCCCCCCCCCCCTTCGCTTTTCAATTTTGCGGAGGCCATAGCTGACGGGGAAAAATATAATTCTCTCTACGTTTTAGCATTGATGGTCTGCCAGTAAATATGTTGTCACACCCCCTCCGTAGGCCTCTCTCAAACAGCGCCCTCATGTTGTGTCTGCCATACCTCAAATCAGTTAATTCAAAGTGGTGCATGCATCTTGATGAAATGTAGCAGTTTCTTTTTCAATTAAACTGAATCCTTAATTGTACTTTTTGTATTTTAATTATATGCCATGGACATCACAAAATCATCGCCGACGAGGCGCAATAGCGATTCTATCAACTTTCTGGCTAATATTTCAGACTTTAGCAGAAGTCTTCACCTCGCTTCGTTGCTGAAGGATGGTTCCCTGAGAGAGGCCTACGCGGCAGCTATGACGGACGGTCAGCTACCGACCAACCGAGCCCGGGTCCTGATCCTCGGAGAGCCTCGTGCCGGTAAAACCAGTCTTCTGAACCGGCTCATGGGAAGGGAGTTTGACATCCGGGAACAGCCGACCGAGGGGATTGTGACGAACATGTGTCAAGTGATTAACGTGGACAAACATTGGAACGAATCCGAAGGCGCCAAAGCAGATGACATACAGCAATGTGCCTCAGTGGTGACTGCCCTTGGTGAAGAGTCGTCGGCTTGTAAAGCAACGACACTCAGATCAGAGAAAATGGATACATCGAGCAAGAACGACCCCACACAATGGCACACGTTGCCCGAGTTAATGAAGATGGGCCTACAGCTATTTTGTTTGTTCGTAGTTGTGTTTGTATTTGGTATGTTCAAGTACGGGTATACGGCATTTGTATGGTGTACATTTGGGGTACTTACCTTGATGCACAACTACAACTTTGCCTATCGGTTCGCAACGTATATATCTTTGTTCTGCATTCTCTTCGACGCAATAATCAGACGAGATGGTTTGATAGAAGCTTCGAGCTGTCAGGAGGGCGTGGACGGGTTTTTAAACCAGACAGTTTGGTCTACTGTACGGAGCAAGGTGTTGGATACGATAAATACCGTTATGTTGGGTGCCGCCAGTGGTTTAGGTTGTCGTACAGGTGTCGCTGTTGCCTTCTCGGCGAGTCTTCATCCAGAAGAGATTAAGGCGACTGGAGAAGCTACTGCTGAGAGTCTCGTTGCCTCCTGGGACATGCTGGTGGTGGTTGTGATATCAAGTGCAGGAGTACTTTTTGGTATTGGATGCTACTCTTTTTGTACATTCAATGACAGGTGGCATAAATACAGAACTGCCACGTGCTGTGGCCTTCTGGCGTGGCTACTTGCACTGAGCCTCAAAAGAGACTGCAGAAACAGACGCTACTGGTTCCTGTTTCTGAACGGAATTATGATGTCAATCGAAGCGACATGGGGGACTTTTGTTGGTCGGAGATATTTACATAAATATGGAGGCAGAGCTAGTTACATATCGAAGAAGACTTTGGGCTTCATCTTTGGCCTGTATTTGTCGTACGTATTTGGCTGGACAATGAAGATACCGAACGCCAGTTTGCCGTCTATAACAATTTACCTTATTTCCATCCTGGCACATCCGTTATTTGATCTTCACAACACCTATAAGGTATGGCGAGAAAAGTCAACCTTTCCCGTAACAACTATCCGTGCACAGATGACAGCTGTACTCCAAAAACAACCGGTCTTAGAGACCAAGCTGAGTTTATGGGACTTTGCTGGAGACACTTTATACCACTGCGCACATCACGTCTTTATGCCAGACAGAGCTCTGTACGTGATCGTCTTCAACCTACACGCCGCTGTTTCTGACGAAGTTGGGCAGCTGCAGAAACTTCTCTTCTGGCTACATTCAGTCTGTGCGCATGCGCATCATCCAGATGCTGTTATCATTATCGTCGGCACTCACAAGGCAAGCGTCTCTAAAGCTAATAGGTTACGTTTTACTGAAGAACTTCACCGTAGAATCACATCTCCTTTCTGTCATCGGCTGGTTTTAAACCCTCTCGACGACAAGCCGTTGTTTCTCGTCGAGAATTCCTATTCCGATGACAAAGACTTCCAGCAGTTGAGAGCAGAAATATTCAGACGGGTGGAGAGCGCCGAATACGCTCAGGAAAGATATCCCATCAAGTATCTGCACTTCTATCGCGAGATCCAGAATCGTCGAAAACTGGCAGAGATTGATTGTGCAGCTTACGTGATGACCTTGGACCAAATCAGCGACCTTGCCAGGGTTACCTGCGATGTGACAAACGAAGACGACTTGAAGAATATGCTCCAATTTTTTGGCGAGGCTGGAGAAATCATCCACAAAGATGACGACGACATCTTGCGAGAACATGTCGTGTTGGACCCCCAGTTCTTAGTTGACGTCATGAAGAAACTCGTGCGAATCCCGCGTGGCTCTAAACGGTCGCATCGCTTTGCTGTGGATTGGAGAGATTACGAAAGCAGTGGAATTATCACAGAGGGTCTGCTGCAACATATTTACGGAGACATGTCCCATCTTGTGCCACTTCTGACCAAGCTTCTGCAAGCTTATGACCTCATGTGTCCGGTGGCGTCCGTCTTCAATCCAAACTGCTCCCAGAAGTCTTTCTTGGTGCCTGCCATGCTGCCTCCTTACCGGGGTGAATCGGTGGAGTTCGGGAAACCCCAGAGTAATGAGGAGGTATTTTATTTCGACTTTGGTTTCTTCGATCCCAGTACCGTCTACTACCGTCTACTGACCCGCTGTCTGACTAGGGCATTTATTGACCAGAAGGCAAACCCAACCTCCCAGCCGATGATCTTCGCTGATCGGAGCCGGTTCCACATCGGCACAAACTTCATTCTCAAGCTCCAGTTGGAAAGATCCTGCCAGCGGAAGCTTTTGTCAGTCACCATCTTGGCATTTGAACCGAAGATGCCAAACACAAACCTTTTGAAGGAGCTTGTAGACTTCGTCAGGAGCATAACAGCGAGGGACTATCCACAGTTGTGCTTCGAATTCGGCCCTCGCTGTCCATTCTGCGCGCTTGACGTCCAATCGGTCAAATCAAGCGTTGACCTCTCCAAGTACACAAGTGGAAACAACAGTTGCGACAAAGCAAAAATCCACGTGCTGAAAGTGGCCGGGCATGACCAACCGTTCCCGACAGAATCCCCGGTTATTCTGTTCTGCGGTCAACAGAGATACGAACTGAAGCTGCCTACAAGTAAACCCAGTGTAGGTTAAAATATTTCGTTATATTGAAAGTACGTTGGTCAGATCATTTGAAACAGCTCTATACAGCAAACACATAAAGCGTGTTCGATTACCCCCCACCCCTTCCGCGCTTACTCGTTCCTCTGAATCGGAGAAAGTTCACATGTGCAATACGTGAGAATAAACAACAATCTCGGGTCACCCGACGACGTACGAGTGACGTACGCGGCCATGATAAATACTCAGGGAATAAATGTGTGCTTCGGGGGTTTTAAACACTATGTTGAAGACCGGTCGGAGTCTGGATGCTGATAATTACCCGAGCCAATGTAGGCCTTTTCATATATACCTTTTCGGTCAAAAAAACCCCTAAACTTTTAGGTCCAAAAGTCAAAACAAGTCAAAAATTATAACTTTCAACGATTTCGATCAGCAAAACACCCCTCTGGCAATACAATGGTAAGGCCTTCTGGTAGACAACTCCTTATATGGAGCTGTACCGGTGAAGTGTGAATTTAGGGCTATGAAATACTGACTCACTGGTACTATATTGCGCATGCCTACGTGAGGATTGTGAACGTTCAACCAATTAACGGTGCTGGCACCGGGTTTCATAGGAGTCCAAATTTCATGTGACCCTGGAAAAGTGTTTAAGACCACCCAGCTATGTCTTTAAAACCGGCCACTTGACGGGTTCTTGACCAATAAGATTTGGTAAACTGTCTTAGGTATTTAAGAATAAAAAATAAATATCGGAGCCCATTTTCAAAGTGGATTGGTTTTAAATAGTTATATTGAAGTTGACATACTTGAGTGAAGCCATGCTTCATCAGACACACTGTTAACACAATGTGTCAAATTTCCGACCATCGTCTAGAGTATAGTAATTTGGATACGAATTTTCGTTTTTGAACCTCCCACTGCATGCGCATCCGGCGATGCGCATGCGGTGGGAAGTTCAAAATCGAAAATTCGTATCCAAATTACTATACTGCGGTCGACATGTTTTAGCATGGCCTTATGCGATACTTACCCATGTAACTGGCTCAGTTGGTCAGTTACTTGGGCCAGGCCCTAGTAAGTGCGAGAAGTCTCGTGAGAGTTAAATGGAACGCAGTCGCACTTGCACGAGTAAGTGTGGGGGAAGTAATCGAGCACGCTAATAGCGAAAGACGTACATAAAGCTACAGTTTTTCATGGTTTTTTTTAGAATCTCCAATAAATTCAGGCTTAACCCTATCAATTGATGCAGTATTAGTCTCTCAATCATCTTCTGGTGTTGATAGTAACGTGAAGCTAACTTTATCCATTAATAAGTCTCACTTGTCTCCAACCTTTTAGGACGTTCACCGTAGTTGTTCCGCGCTTCCTCAGAGGATTTCATTTGGACCAGCGACCTCAATCACCAAGTTACCACCCGACCTCTTCGACAGGGTGTGCTTACGCCTGAACAACACGTCAGTCTTTAATAACTGGAAAGTTCTGGCAGGTAAATATTTTAGAATCGCATAAGGCCGGTAGTGCGTAAAGCGCTCGCCTCTCACCACTTCGGCCCTGGTTCGTTCCCGGTTTATAGGACCATATGTGAGTAGAGCTGTGCGTTGGTTCTAAACTGTGCCACAAGGGTGTTTCTCCGCGCACTCGGGTTTACCTCCCTCCGATCAAAATCAAACACTTTCGATCTCTGGCTGTTCTCAAAGGTCATGGATGCCAATGGCGCCTTAACATGCCTGCGGCTCGACCACATTGTAGCCGCGTCCTTCACAATTCAGCTTTTCATCTGCGAGAAAAGAGAAAAAAATTATGTTATTCCCGTTAATCTACCCTTAGGGAAACATTATACATTGGGGAGACGTCTCCCTTATGTCACAATTTCTATTTAGAGGCAAACGTGTATCGTCGCAAAGAGGTTAGATTGATTGCTCATCGTCCAAAACTTAAATATACCTGAATATTGCGAGGGTTGGATAAGGGAAATTTTGCGCACGACCCTACGGGTGGTACCATTCCCCGTAATTGAGTGGTCGGGCACAACCCGACCACTCTCTATTATTGTTACGATTAATCTTTCCTTTTTTTCCGTACAGCACGTTTCCGCGGGTTTTCTCCTAAACGGTTTATGATATGAACTTGTAACCTTCAATATATATCGACCCTCATCCTAAGTGGTGCATAGTACTCTGACGTCATTATGACGTCATCGGGTGTCAAATTACAAGCGATTTTCGTTAAAAAAAATGACGATCTTCTGTCACCTATAACTCTTGAACAAAAAGATCAATCATGTTCCAACCTTGAAATCAGATAGACCATTATTTGATAAACATTTTATGTCGTGTACGTGAACTAGCTTGACCTTGTCTTCCGGTTCTACCGGAAGGTCAAATTTAGGTGAATTCAAAATGTAGACATTAGCCTGAAATCAAAACAAAGCACCGTTTCTTCCGAACAGTTTACGGTATGATCCTAAAACCTAGTGTTAACGTGTACCATGTTACGAAGATGTTATAAATTTTGTTACGTCATCATGACGTCATCAGGTATCAAATTACAAGCGATTTAAGGGCAACTTTTGACGAAATAGTTTGCCCTATATCCTTTGAAGTAAATAGAGAATTGCTTACGTCACCATTTTGCCACGGAGGTCATTTAGCATCACTGGAAACATGAATTATGCAGTACGTATGCACATGGATGTCCCGGATGATGGACTGAGATCAAGCTTTATGTATGGCTCCTGAAAACTGTGCAGAAGCCTTGAGTATAAAACAGCTGAACCCTAACCTCCAAAAATATATTTCATATTTAAAAAAAATATGTAGCACCAAAATAAGTATAATGACTGGAAAACCTATTTCAGAAACTACTTTTAGATAAAAAAAGAAATTACTGAAATTGCTCAATCCGTTCAACTAATATCACCATTTACACGCAATGACCCTAGAAACCTGTTTCGTCGGAAAGAGCAATTTATTGTGCATCATTCTGACTGCTTGGAACAACGGAGAAATTGACACAGAACAAGGGCGGATCCAGAACAAAATTTTTTGGGGGGCCCAAAAAAATTTGGGTCCCCCAAAAAGTGGGTCAAAAAATTACGGCGTGGGGTTCGGGGCCCGCTTAAGGGCCCCGACATTTTTTTGGATTCTATATGCTCTGTGGTGCGATCTGAGGCACTTTCTGACCACTTTAACCAATGTCCTTTTGAGGAAAAGATGGTCGTGTACTCATGCCTGCCTTTATTGCGATGTCACATAAAAAAACAAAACAATTGGTTTCGGTTTTTTTTTTGGGGGGGCATGGCCCCCTTCCCCCCCCCCCCCCCCCGATCCGCCCTTGACACAGAATACTTGTTTCAACAAATGTCAGCAACAAGCTCTAGTCATTAGCAATTCGCAAACAATATATGATTTATAAAATCCACTTTTTTTGAAGATGGGCCTTCAAAAGAACTTTGTTGAATATTTTTAACTTTTAAACTGAGGTTCAAGTTATTTCTCAGTGGTGATGTTTGACGAAGTTGCAATCAGGTTAGTTGTTCAATTAAGCACCGGCCGCGGCCAAGTTAAGATTTTTAGCACTTTTGTTGCAAACGAAAAAGTTGATGAACATCACTGACATTGCTGTTTTTAAACTACTTTACGGGCACGTACAATTCCTTATAAGTTTGCATAGAAAGAAAAAAATGCATTGTCGATGTCGTTTTTGTTTCTATGCAGTTCAAATGTAATGTAATTTGATCAGGGCCGGTTACTGTGCTTGCCTGCCGCGTTGGGCTTTTTTAAGTATCCTGAGGCAATCTCGTCAGTGTTTTAATAAACAGATCTATTTAACCATAAATTGATACAGCAACAGATTTGCTTTCTGAATGCAATGATTTATTTCTTCCTTTCTTTTCAACTTTGCCCGTAGCTGTCCAAATAGGCTAACTGAATAATGTTTGACTCGCCAAACGGGCTAGTTCGACCATGGGGGAATAAACCGCCGCTATCTTGACGGTCAGCTTTGCTAGGCTATCGTTTGCATACGAGTCAGCGCTTTCATCTGGCGCATGCCTCGGCCGTTGGCACGGATCTGCATAATTCATGTTCTAGCAACGTCATACGACCTGCTCATGAACTTGGTGACGTAGGCATAAATTATGATAAGTGTACCTTCCTCCCAGTGTGATACTGACGCTACCGAACTGTGCGCACTGTTATTTCCTGGTGGAGGGAGCATATTTATATAGAGTCTACTCGTATTAAATTCGGTTATGAAAATACGACCACACTAGGATTTCGCAATAGTAGCCGAGGTCGTATGGCGTATTGACTGTGAGCTGCCGTTGTGAACTTCACGGGAACTTTCAAGCTGTGCATCCGAAATCGAATTCCTAGTTAGTGCTCACTCTACACCAGGTAAGAAGTTAAGAAGAAAAAATGTATATGTTTTATAATGTGCTACAGTAGTTACTTATCTCTTATGAAATCGATTCACTTGCACAGCTCACCAAGTCAACCAAACAAGTTCAAGCACAAGTTAACTCACAAGTAACGAACGACAAAAGAAAGAAGCCTTTGAAACCGCCCTTTGCTACCTTGGTCACAGTTTATCCTCGTATGCAATACCTCATCAATTGAATTGAAACCATATGCTTTTTATGGAAACAAACCAAAAGTCCTAAAAATGTATATTTTCATGTACAGTTTATTGGAATGCATGTACGATTTTGCAAGAAAAAGGTTCCTTCATATCACTATTATTTTCGTCCGCCTGATTAACCGTTGGAGTAACTATTTAAAAAAGAAGAAGAAATATTCGATTCTAGATATCGAATACCGTTTGCATGGGCGAATACTCACTCTTATTGTGCATTCATTTTATAGTACAATGCGATACTTTTGGTATCGATACTTACTCATTTCGGCAGTGCCGAGTTCCGTTTTGGAATGATGGCTTTTATATTGTTTTTGTATGGGAGTACACAACACGCAATGAACAGGAACATACAAACTCAAGTGCCCCAAATGTCAAACCACAACATAAAATAGGACATTTCAGTAGTCTCTGACTTTTTCAGACCTTGGACCACAGTTAATATTTGAAAATATAAAACATATAAAAAAAAAGATGCTTATTTAATCGGTACCGACTCGTATGGAGGATTTGTTTAAGAGAGTTCGGGTAATCAGATTTTGTATACAAATTTATTTGTAAATTTTGCATAACATTTGACCCCAATTGTTTTGGCCTTGTAAAATATCTCAAAAGACAGGGGCTAGGTACCAATTTAGAAATGATGTCAAGGGACTGACAAAGTGAGCATGCTACTTTGCCAAATTAAAAATTAAGACTGACTCTAATATAGGTTTTCCTAGGTCTTTTTTTGCGAAATTGGCCGGGAAAACCTATATAATACATTAAGAAGAATTTCTGTGTAGGCCTAAGCCTCGTCGTCAGGCATTTTATAACCACATATAAAATTCAAGTGGATTCAGGTGTGCTTTCCGTTTATATTATTGTCTTCCTGCACTTATATTAGTGCAATTTCACAACATAAGTTATTTTATGGGCAGTCTACTTCCTTATCGACTTCCCCATGAGGTCCAAGATATGCATTCTCATCTACATTGCATGATGGCGCAATCGTTTTACTGGAATTCATGTGTTGCATCGCACTATATTACCATACCACTAACTGCAGTTTGATTAAATAGTTTTGTTAGGACAGAAAGCACTTGACTCCGGTCGTTTTGTTTTGTTTTGTTTGTAAGTTTAAGTTTCTGTGTTGAAGCTGGAACAGGAATACACGGGTGCTACGTATTCATGTACAATCCGTAGGGCCTCCGATTGACTGATAAATTATTTAGGTGTTGGGCTTTAGGCCAACATAAAAAGTATTCGGTTTCTGGTATGGAGCTTGCCCAAAAAGTGGTGCGGCGACGCGGCTTTTTTTTTTTACCTGATTGTTTTGCTTCAAATGTCGGCTGATGACTGCAAATGGTGCCCGACTAAACTAAGTGCAGAGAGGCCACATAAAGCTTATTCTCGACCATAACCCGATCTAAAAACACGTTAAAATTGTGCAGCAGCAGGATTCCAATCAAACCAGTGAGTTTGGCGGTTTTGCATTTGAGACATCATCTTTTATTGAAAAAAAAAACTTTTTCATTTTGCCGACGCGCATGGCTACGGCGACGCGCGCGCATACAAGAAACCGGAGACCTTTTTTTTTTGGCCTTAGCCCAAAACCTGTTGTTTTTGTATGGGTTCGCTGTTTTTATTATTTTTCTCCAAGACATAATTCTCCTGCAGAACTGTTTGTCAAAATGGAAAGTGATATGAACTTGAATTGTCAATACATGAATGGCCCACCCACTGCAGATGTGCTTTTTTGTAATTACGTCATCATGACGTCATCGTGGTCACGTGACGTCACTTGAAAGTTTGATAAATTTAATCTTTGAAATTCCATATAAAATCAACCGTGAGAGACCACAACTTGAATTTTGCGGGATTCAACATGATAATACATGCTCTTCATTTTATCCTGTGCGCGTAAAATCACGTGGCCTTTCCTTCCGGTCGAAACCGGAAGTGGTTGATAATTTGAAAGTGGAAAAAGATATGAACTTGCTTTTAACGCTGTTGGTGTCTGCCTCGATTGACCTTTCAAAAAAAAATGATTGGTGACGCCATGAAGTGTTGGAGCACCCTCTAGCAGCAGGTTAAAAACGTGAAAAAAAGAACATTTTCACTTGATGTCTGTGGCGAAGTTTGCGGTAATCGCTTCAAAATTAATGTACATGATGGCCATAATGCACACAAAACCTCCGCGCGAAAAAAAATTGATAACGTCATCAGACCGGAAGTTACAATAAAACAATCTTTAAACCTTAAACAATAAACAAGATGTGGCTAATATAGCACAGTAAATATAGCTCTGGAGGTTTCTGGTAATGACATCACAATGACGTCATCAAGTATCATATTACAAGCAATCAAGATAAATTTTTAGTGCAAAATCATGTGACCCTTTCTTCCGGTCGAAACCGAAAGTACCTTATTATTTAAAATTGGCAGAAGATACGAACTTGCTTTCAAAGATGTGAGTGTCTGCCTAGGCTGTACTTCAGAAATATATTACAGGTGACGTCATAAAATGTCAGAGCGCCCTCTAGCGGCAGGTTAAAAAACTTCAAAAACGCATTATCACTCGATGTATATGGCAAGATTTGCGGTAATCGCTTCAAACTTGTACATGATGAAGTTCATGCAGAAAAAGATATGTGCGCGAAAAACATTATTACGTCATCACATCGGCAGTTACAATAAAAAGTCCTTTAAAACCTTCAAAAATTGCAAAAAAATCAACCATGATAGATATAATCGAGATTGGGCTACATATAGCACAGTTTGAAATAACTCTTGAACTTTCTGGTAATGACGTCAGAATGACGTCATCAAGTATCATATTACAAGCAATCAAAGATTTCTAGATTTAATCTTTGAAAATCAATATAAAATCAATTGCTACAGATTTGATTTTGTTTTTTTATGGCAATCGATACAATTGTCACGTGAATACAAAAATTAGTAACATTTCAATTAGAAATTCTGAAAAGACATTGATTTATGAGGTATATTTTGCACGCGTCATGAATTGATTAGCAATATTGCATTGGGAACATACTGTTGATCTGTATTTTTATTTACAGGGTTTCCGGAATGCAATTTTTTCCACACCTGTTCTACTGGGATATGTAATTATCAAACCTGGGCGCCAGTTTTTGCTACATATATACATAATACAGGGACAATCTGTTTGCCTGGACGTCTTTATATATAATTGTATGCAATATTTTTAACAGAAGCAGGCAGTACAAATTAGACGTACTGTATTTGATCTTTATATAATTTCTTGTCCTGCGCTCTTTTGTGAGAGGTCACAACATGGGTACATGTGAAGTGTCTAGAACTGTTAGGGCCACGTAACTTGAGTTGAGCACTTGGCCCTAGAAGTGTGGTGTATTTTGGTTGTTAGGCGGTCGAGAGTTCATTATTGCTCAAGTCCCCAGAGCGGGAGCAATGCCAGAGTAAGGCACAGAGACCACCCCGATTTCTTATTCAGGGTAACTTAACTTTAAACAATGGAGTCTCTGTGAGTTTACAGTTATGAATGTTCAGAGGTTTTAACGAGTTATTATATACATGTAGGTATGTGTATGCGCATGATGTGGGATTTTAAATGTTGGATGCGGGGGGGGGGTGGGAAGGGTTGGGTTTGAACTCATTGAAGCTCTTTGATTTCGAATTAGTACACTGACTGGTTTAAGTCCAGGGAGGGAGAGGTGAGATTGTGCATGTGTCAAATGACACTCTTTCAAGCACGCCCATGACTATTGTTGGTAGTTGTTTCAAACAATTTGAACTGAAAATAACTTTAAATAACCTTGAAAAATTGCTAAAAAATTAACTGTGATAGATATAATAAAGATTTAGCTATTTATAGCACAGTTAAAATAGCTCTTGACTTGTCTGGTAATAACGTTACAATGACAGCATCAAGTATCATATTACAAGCAATCAAAGATTTATAGATTTAACCTTTGAATATGAATATAAAATCAACTACAGATTTGATTTTTTCATGGCAATCGATACAATATTGCAGGGTCTTTATTTTTGGTGTTAAGTGCAAAATCACGTGACCCTAGCTTCCGGTCGAAACTGGAAGTGCCTTATTATTTAAAATTGGTAGAAGATGCAAATTTTCTTTCAACGATGTGAGTGTCTGCCTAGGCAGTACTGTACAAAAAAATTACAGGTGACGTCATCAAATGTTAGAGCGCCTTCTGGCGGCATGTTGAAAAAGTACAGCGCAGCTTTAACAGCGTAGAAGAAGTCATTACAGAGCGCAGAACTTGGAAGGTTTTTTTGTGTTATTGGTTAATATGAACAATTGATCACTTATTCAAACTATGTTTTAATCAGTGTATTTATCATGGCAGTAACATCTGATATGAGACTGGCTAGATAATTAGTATGCCTCCGGTCTTTTGTTGAACTACATGTGCATGTACATGTGAATGGAGCTGGGTCTGGTTATGGGCTAGTCATTCAATACCTAAAGGTCATGTTGATAACCCTAGCACTATAGAGGTTGAGACAATGGTGTCCTGAGTCCTTGGTTTTATCCTTGGTTTCCTGGTCTCGTGAAGCATCATAAGCTCACTGGAGTGGAGTCCGGTGCGTGCTGTTGAGTACGGGTGGATGAGCTCGATGAGATACTCCGGCGCATTGTTGATGAGGATTTTGAACACGAATAGGCCAATTATATTTGTATTTGATTCTATATGATACTGGAAACCAGTGGAGATCTGCTAGTACAGGAGTGATGTGAGAATGTTTACTTGTGAGAGAGATTAGTCTGGCACTGATGTTTTGTAGTCGCTGCAAACGGTTTAGTTGATTTAGGTTAATGCCATACAATAGTGAATTGCCCATGTCAATTTTGGATGTGATGAAAGCGTGAACAAGTATTTTAGTTGTGTGTTTGTCAAGATATTTTCGTATGTGTCCGATGTTACGGATCGACATGCAGACTGATCTAGAGATTGATGTAAGCTGAGGTTCTATGGATAGAGATGAATCAAAGATAACGCCGAGATTTCTGACTTGATTTGATGGCATGATGGTCGAATCACCAACCCTTATGGATGGAACATGAACTTTGCACGATTGCTGCTTTGAACCTATGATGATACATTCGGTCTTTTCATCGTTGAATTTGAGCCAGTTGTGAGTCATCCAAGAACGTACGTCATCAATGCATAATGACGTTACAATGACGTCATCAAGTATCATATTACAAGCAATCAAAGATTTTTAGATTTAATCTTTGAAAATCAATGTAAAATCAACTGCTGCAGATTTGATTTTGTTTTTTATGGCCATCGATACAATATTGCAGGGTCGTAATTTTCGGTATTAAGTGCAAAATCATGTGACCCTTTCTTCCGGTCGAAACTGGCAGAAGATACGCACTTGCTTTCAACGATGTGAGTGTCTGCCTAGGCAGTACTGTACATAAATATTACAGGTGACGTCATCAAATGTTAGAGCGCCCTCTGGCGGCATGTTGAAAAATTCAAACATGGATTTAAACATGCATTTTGAGTTGATGTGTGTGGCAAAGTTTGCGGTAATCCATGGCCCAACACTGTGTGGTTGTTCCTACAACCTCTAGTTTTGATTAATTTTCTTTTCTTTTTGATATGAAATATCCAAAATAAAGTAATCAGAGCATGAAAATATTACATTGAGCTAATCACAAACCAAAGGAACCGAGTCAGATTGACACACTCCCGTGTATATGCCCTTTAAACTAAGACAGTGAACATTTTTTTGGTAAAAAATCAATTATTATCAAAAATCAGTTATTATTAACTGACGCACATCTTTTTTTACACGGCAGCTTTACCATGGAATCCAGAACACGTCCATCCGTAACTAACCAAGGTTTCAGCGTAATCGACAAGAGGCTTTCGGGACTGTCAGACTTCAGCCGAAGTCTCAACCTTAGCGTCCTGGTGAACGACCCGTCATTGAGAGAGGCCTACGTGGCAGCCCAGACAA